AGAAACAACTAGCTCCAATGAGAAACAATTCGTTTCAATAATTTTATATTCGAAATCAGCCAGCGTAGGCATGCTCCACATTCTCTTGTTAATTCTCGCAATTTGTCTATTTGCTTAGTTTTCGATGGTTAGAATGGTGCAGATGTTTATAAATGTAAATAAACTCAATGTACGCCTGAAATTATCCATGGAAACCACAAGCTCCAATAAGAAATATTTTTCCTAAAAGCAACTTGTTTTTGAATTCATCCAATGTACGTATACCTATGTTCATGAACACTGTTTATTAAAATGCATTTTTTTATAGGTTGATGTAGAAATGTCGTCCCAGAATGGGGAATTGATTTATCAACAAGAAAAAATAAGGCTAACAACTATCCTACTCTTTCCTTTCATCTTCTTTTGTACTGGATAACTGGTGTGATATTATGCAATATAGCCGCTGCTTTTCAACAGTGGCTATCAACTGTTGGTTTTTAATTAACGCTCAATACGTACTAACTGTTCTTATTCTAACTGTTCTTAACGGAATAGAAAATGTTTTGAAGAATTTTTTCAAAAATGTTTATATTTTATTTGTGGAATCGCTAGGTTCATTTGCTGAATAGTCTCCAAACAGAACAATCGTAAGGAGTCAAACGATAAATAACATTTCCATGTGCAAAAGATTCATTCATTTTGTATTCACAAAGAAATCCAACCAGATTCGATAACATATTATATGAAACATATATGTTTCATAATTATGTTCTTTTCAACTTTTATTTACTCATTTAAATCAATCAGTTCTATATTATGACGTATTTTTTCACAATAAACATGAACACCAAACATGAGCATTTGATTTTTTCTTATTATTATGAATTCACAGACACGTTTGATTATTTAATCTAAATTGAAAATATTTTTCTTCTAATTGGAATCAATATGGGCTATTCATATATTGTTTTTTCACAAACACTCAACAGCATCTAGTTGTAAACTAATAAAACTAAGTCGATTGAATTCAAAAATGAAACTTTCACAAATACTATACCATTCTTAAGGGCATGCCTGAGCTTCCGCTACAAAGAGCCTATCTTCCTCTGTCCCTTTTACAAATATTGCCATCTCTCTTTGCTTTATTCTTTCCTATAGTAGGAGTGGTCTGTTTCTTTGGTTTCCTATACGAGGAGTCGTGTAAAAATGAAAATAGAATATAAAATGTTTAATAGTCACTTCCAGCAAAATAGCTGCAAAAAACCAAGATGATTAAATTCAAAAATGAACTCTTCAGAGTGTACAAGGCTTAGAGCTAACTGTAAATATTTAAATTTGAAACGACGCCAAAGTCAAATAAGGATTGAATTAAATGATGTATAATTAAATTAATAAAAAATAGATTTTTTTAATTATTTTCAAACCAAATCTTCTAACGTAAATTGTTGTTAGGGAAGTTTGAGAAATTTTTTGAAATGCAACAAATTTTTCTTAAATTTTCTGAAAATTTTCGGCATAAAATGCTTTCTATTCTATTTTTAGACTAAAATTTGGTAGGTAAATCATTTCCCCGTTTTGGTACAACAAAACCATTTAACCCTAGATGATTAATATTGAAATTGTAATTTGTTCTACAAAAAGGGGCGAATAGCCAAATGCTAAAACTAAACATCTGTAAAACACCAAATTAACAATTCCAATCTCATCTCCAAAAAAAGGAAGTAGGAAGGTTAAGCGGCATAACGCATTATGATGTGCCGCTCGATTAGCGCAAGCGACGTTGCGCTCAAATGCAAATAAAGTTAGTTCTAATTAGACACTCGAAGTTAACACATGTTGTTTGATTAATTACAGCAGGCACCTTACTCAAATGGCCTATCCATCATTATAGGCCTGTTCAGTCGCCTCGAACTAAAACTTATGGTTCAAATGCTATTCTTCAGAGAACCAATTGATGGAGGATGCTGCTTTATTTTGATGTAGTCCATCAGCTGGTCAAGGCATTTTCTTTTCTACGCAATGCAGATTGGCCACATTTATACCATGTCACCATGTTCATCTCCGTTCCAATGCCTTTCATATGATACCCATATCGACTATTCATTTGCAAAAATAGTGTTAAGTCGTGTCAACTCGAACACGATGGACCTTGATGGACCAAGATGCTTATAGGAACCATTTCCAGGCCATGAGCTTTCCAATGGTATCTTTGGATCCCGAATCGGATAAGCGGTTTGGTCAAACATTAGCTTCATACACACACACATTCAGTTTTATATATATAGATGCAGTGACACAGTGGCAGAATTGTTAACGAATAACGGTAAATGAACAAAACGAAAATCTCATTCCAGCGATAAATAGCTGGCAAATGTGTTAGAACAACCAAATGTGTCGGATAAATTTATTTGATATTTGAAATTTATATAAATAAATTTATGTGCAATCAACCTCTGCTTTTTCTGACACAATGTCAAAACCGATAGTACAACAAAGCAGCAATATTGGTGTGGTTAAAGTTTGACAAAAATATATTGAAAATAATATTCTACATGACAATCGAATACGGAACTCAAAGGAATACATAAGATTTTTCAATTGATTTTACTTATGTCCGTTGTGCCTTTTCTCTTCAATCCCCTCAAGATAGTCAGCAACCTTCTTGTAATCTGGAAAAAAGGATCGATACAGTTTGAATCACATTTTTTCTAAACAGAATAGTTCAACATTACTTTCATTTCGTGAGATACGAGTAGCAGCTATTTGATACGGTGTCTGATTAGAAAAGTCTTTAACAGTAACACTGGCTCCATCGTTCACAAGGAGTTGAGCGATCTGTAAGTTGCCTGGAGGATATTATTGACCAATGAGAAAGATTAGATTAATTGCTCATCAAAAATAAATATTTATTTTACCATTCTTAGCAGCATAATGAAGAGGTGTCCGCCCAAGATCGTCTATAGGATCAACTTTAGCTTTTTTCGTGATGAGCAATTCAACAACCTCCATGTGATCTGAAAAAGAAAATCTATCAATGTTAATCAAGTCTTTCTCTCATTAAGTGAAAATATTCAAAATTACCATTCATAGCAGCATGATGAAGAGGTGTCCGAAAATGACAATCTCCTAAATCAAGATTGGCTCCTTTCGTGATGATTTTTTCAGCGACATCCTTGAGACCTGAAAAATAGCACAGATCAATGAAAAAAATCAAACCATTCTCTTATTTACCGAAAATAAATATTCAACATTACCCTTCATGGCAGCATAATCAAGAGCTGTCCGATCATAATAGTCTTCAACATCAACTTTGGCTCCATTGCTGATAAGCCTTTCAGCGACATCGTTGTGTCCTGAAAATTTACACCAGTCAATGAATAAGATCAAACTTATTTCTTTTTCATGAAAATATTCCAAATTACCATTCTCAGCAGCTAAATGAAGAGGTGTCTGATGAATGCTATCTTCCGAATTAATATTGGCTCCTTTCGTGATGAGAAAGTCAACGACATTCGAGTGACCTGAAAAAGAACACCGATCAATGAATTAAATCCAAATAATTTCTTGTTTTGTGAAATTAAATGTGCAACATTACCATTCATAGCAGCCAAATGAAGAGGTTTGCGCTGATCTTTGTCTGTCGAATCAACTTTGGCTCCTTTCGCAATTAGCTTTTTAACGTCCCCCAAGTTACCTGAAACAATGAAATAGATTCAATCAATTTCCCATTTGGTGAGCATAGTTTTCCAGAGCTACCATTCTCAGCAGCGACATGTAGAGCTGTTCGGCCGC